ATTTAACCAACATTAAACGGATACAAGTCAAGGAAAGGAATAGGCTGGGAGTAGAGTTCCTGGATTACAAGTCAGCAAACTCTTTTGCAAATAAAGAACTCAATGGATACTATATATATATATACATATACCATTCAACAAAGTAACATGAAAGGGAATCATAAGACAAGTAGATACAAGCTTCATAATTGAAGAGATCATTAGCGCTATCGAATCTCCAATGAGAGTGTTAGATGGAAAAAGGCTCAATAGAAAAACCATAGTAGACAGCATTACAAAATACACGCCCACTGGTACCATACCTAATAACATTTCAAGGCATAGTACGTCCTAGAGATGTTTCTATTTACTATCTTCTCTTTCCCGTATTTACATATATATACCACCTGTCACTCATTGTTACTCTTGTCTCACTTATGGTCACACTAAAACCCAGTGCAAGGGACAAAGAAGGTACTTTAATTGCAGTAATCCTGAACATAATGAGAAGGGGGAGGACTTTCACTGTCAAAGAAAATGTTATCATTGCGATAGTCTGGAACACAGATCCAACTCGAAAGACTGCCCAGAGTACAAGAGGCAGGAAAGGATGAAACAACTTATGGTATTTGAAAATATTTCATACTTTGAGGCAAACAAGCTGTGCCCTAAAACGTATAAATCGCAAAGTAATATGATAAACACAACCGACATAGCTTACAATAATAGAAATTTCCCATCAATCAGAAACCAGAATACACCTTCTACCTCCGGAACAACTCAAATAAATATATTACAAAGAAGAACATTTGAATTCGCGAATACTATAAAAACAAAAAGAACCTTTCAACAAGCGCTATCACAAACACCAAAAAAAAGAATAGTTAAACATAACACCGGATACAATAAAGAAAGTCACAATGAGAACCTAATGAATAGAAACGGTAGACAAAAAAACAGTAACGGGCCAATAACAGTACAAGCACAAATGCACAATAACGCTTCAAACGCAGAAGCACCATTCAACACACCTAAGGCGCCTACTAGTGCCCTTTACAGAAATAACACTAAAGAACAAGTAGATGAAATCGCTGAAAACTTAAAATACCTTAAACCTGAAACCCTAACTAAAATTAAACAAATAGTACTCAATGATACAGACCAGACTGACAACGAATTTTACTGAAAAAGTGAAAAGTGTTACATAGCCTAGTCTCAGTAGTACAAAACAGACACAACTGCAAAATGAACAGCAAAGGCACTTTAATCACTTTACAGTGGAATCTAAGAAGTTACAGTAGTAACAGCGTGAATTTAATTCGATTTTTAGAAACGCATAACCCAGACATCATTTTTTTAAATGAGACATGGCTAAAGAAACAACAGAGTTCGCATATTAGAGGCTATCAATGCATTAGAGCAGACCGAGAAGATGGGAAAGGTGGAGTAGCTACATTTATAAAAATATCATGTTATCAAAACATAAGACTCCCTAACACATTTAACACTGGAAACCTACAATGTATTGTCACTAAAGTCCTGAATATTAATTGGGTTAATGTATACAGCCCTCCAAGCAACAAAATCACAATAAAAGGGTTCAATGAACTATTGAAATCGCTCGTGGGCGAAGTGGTGTTGGTGGGGGACTTCAATGCCCATCATCCAGCATGGGATAGCATTAAGACAAATTACAATGGTAGAGCTCTCTATGAAATCATAGAATCCAACAACCTCATCATAATGAATGATGGTTCCTCAACCAGACTCATAGGACCAGGGGAGAATCCGAGTCCTCTTGACCTGACCATAGTGTCGAACAACTTGGCCACCACCACACATTGGGGTATTTTGCGGGACTGCGGAAATAGTGATCACTTCCCGATCATTTGTAAATATGAACACATACTAAGATCAACGAACGAAAGACCTAAAAGAAATTATAAAAAAGCAAATTGGAGTTTAGACAAACAATTGATAAATGGACACTTTAGGATGAATACGGATAATGTTGACTTCCAAACGCTTGCTCAAACAATAAACATAGTAGCTGATCTTTCAATCTCCTATACCTATTCCAAGCAAGATAATAACAGAAAGATATCCAGGAGCCCATGGTGGGATGAAGAATGCACAGCCAAAATTGAACAAAGGAAAAAGGCCATACGAAAGTTTGAACTAGAATCTAGTTTAGAAAATTACATAGAGGCGAAAAAAAAATCAATGCACAGACAAATAGATTCTTGAAAAAAGATAATAAAACCCAATTTTAAAAAATTTGCTCCAAAATAAACAGAAATACGAATCCCTCTTTCATATGGAAAACATTCAAAAAATGTAGTGACAATAAAAAAGTATACAATAAAAACTCATCCCCTAACCCACAAATTGCCTTAAAAATATAAAAAATCTGACTGTGTGTAACATTCCAGCTGAATTCTCATTCCATTGTTCAAAAAATGAAAACCATCAATTCTACTTCAGAGATTTATGTATCGCTTTGGAAAACCGCAAAAATAGTGCTCCAGGAATGGACAATATCTCATATTTAATGCTCAAGAATCTACCAGGCCCAACACTACATTCACTATTAAACATATACACCAACTGCCTATCGGGTATGCAAATTCCTAACAGCTGGAAAGAGCATTTGATATACCCCATATTTAAAACAAATAAAGACCCAAACAACCCCAACAACTATAGACCTCGTGCGTAGGGAAAACACTAGAGATTTTGATCAAAAATAAACTAGAGTGGGAACTCGAAAGTAAGATAACTTTTAACCACCTGCAGACAGGACACAGGATTCAGAAAAGCACACTATACCCAAGACAACCTCGCTTTCATAGTTTCCAACATACAATTGGCTTTTTCACAAAAAGAAACCACGTTAGCAGTCTTCCTAGACATCAAATCAGCATACGACTACGTAAACATTTTTCTATTATATGAAACTAAATAAAACTTGGAATACCTAACCAAATTGGTAATCTAATTTTTAATTTACTGAATAACAGAACAGTATATACAATAGATAATGAAAACAATTTACATGGGCCAAAGGTCACCTCACTAGGCCTTCCTCAGGGGTCCCCTCTAAGACCACTATTGTTTAACATATATATAAATGAATTATATTCAATATTACCACAACACATACATTTACTCAGTTACGCAGACGATATGGCGCTGATGATCAACGGTAAGAAAATAGACAAAATGGCGGAAACACGTTTGGATGAAAAGCCACAACTTTGAAACATCAGTGGAAAAAAGTTCAGCGATATGGTTTACGAAAGGTAACAGAATGCGGTCCACACCAATAATTAAAATTAACAATGAAAATATAGAGCTCAAAAACCATACGAAATACTTAGGGGTCATACTACATAAAAATTAATAAAACTTTTAAAAATTTTTGGGAAGGTTTCCTGGGATGCCGACCCTGCAACCTTACGCATGGCGTATAACGGACTAGTTAAATCCCATCTGGATTATGGTAGCATACTATTAAGTTCCTGCAATCAAAAATACGTCAATAAACTCCAGAAGACGTCATTTCAAGAGCTCAGGATCACAACGGGTACCATGAAGTCAACATCAACTAACACGTTACTAGCAGAAACCGCGGAAACGGACGTACACCACAGGCAGGTCTGAAAATAGAATTCAATCCCACCCCTTAATCATAATATTAAAAAAACTAAAAAAACAATATGAGTCAGGCCAAGACTATTGAAGGAATAGAGCGCCCACCATCACCATAGAAGCCCTTAACATTTTGGAGGAATACATTCCACTAATCCACTCGGGATGAGCCCTACCGTGCTTCGAGTTTGATTACAGTACTCAAACTCGGGCAGTGAAAGTCGTCCCCCTTAACATAAACAAAAAAGATCATAATATCGAGTTGCAATTTCTACAAATTATGGAACAGTTCAGAGACACCCATACCCTCATATAAACTGCCGCATCTAGAGTGGACTATAAAGTGGGATATGGGGTACACATTCCTGAACTGGAACATAACTACACATCCAGACTCCCTGACTACTTGAATATCTGCGCGGCGGAAGTAGCAGCTATTAACAAAGCATGCCAGATAGTCATAGAAAAGAAAATCCAGCAAAGCCTAATATTGACAGACTCGCAAAGTGCTATAGCACAAATAGCAAAACAAGGTGTGGATACTAACTCAGAATATGGCTGCCTCACAACAAGAAAGCTAATTCACGCAGCTGCAGAAAAAGGATACAATATTGAACTGGCTTGGATCCCAGGACACTCCAACATTAGAGGAAATAAAACGGCAGACACCCTAGCTAACTTAGGAAGACAACTCAGAATCCCACAAGATACGAAACGTATACCATACCCGATATACTAACTAAGGCCAAAACAAAAATAAAGGAGACATTCACAACAATGTGGAAACGAACATTCATCAACAAAGGCAGGTGGTATAAGAAAATACAAGAAGAATTTCCGGTCAAACCATTCTATTCCAAAATTCCGTATATAAGCAGAAGACGCCTAACAGCCATAATCAGAATGATAACGGGACATGCAAGATATAAAGCTCACATGTTCAAAATAGGAATGGAAGATGACCCCTTCTGTGATTGTGGACAATATGCAGATTTAAATCATATACTAGTAGAATGCCCTATAAATCAAATATTAGGTTTTAATCTATATGAAGAGATAAGAAAAAAACATTCAATTAATACTTGCAAATATCAACATGAAAGTCATAAACCAATTAACCTACTTCATTCAGACAAACAAAATAATATTATAACTGTTTCAGATCCCCATCTTTTAAAACCCTGGGTGCTAATCCTTTTCCCATTCAACATTTAGGTTGTGTGTAGTGTACCTCCCTTGCCCGGGTATTAGAAAAGTCTATACCTGTGTTGTGCTATCTGTCTGACTAACCTCCCCACACCACTTTAGAAAGCATAAGTAAAGGTTTTCATTAATATAAATAGCAACATCCTAGCTCTAGAAATAATACAGCAGAAGATATAGATATATTTTTCAGCATTTCTACACGTGCATTCGAGACAACACAGTGACTCGTACGTGGCTGAGAGCCAGGCAAAGTACAGTCACAACAAATGAGCTGGCGGATTGTACACGTGTACAGAAGCCATAAGGAATAAAGAAGAAGAAGATTATCTGGCCATTAAATAAAACCAATACTTGAATTAGTTATTAGCTGTCATTTTGGCCACCACAGTTACCTTTTTCAAAATACAAACATTTTGCGTATATATTTGTAGTTTGAAAAAGAACATTTTGGTGGCCCAAGGCTCAGTAAAAGTTATTCAAACATTTGTAGTTTCATTTAGATGTTTATGGACTCCCAGGAACACTTCATGATGTGGAAAACCTGGGAATATTTATTGTTTTGCAAAAAATAGTTGCATTCACAAACTCATTTTACAAGTGCCAAAAGCTGTCTGAAAAAGTTTTGATAGTAATAGAACCTCATTCTCAAGATTTGGCCTACAAATGTTGGTTGATAGTTTTCCTATGATACTCCTTCATCCACTGTAATCCAAAATCTTATAAGTTGACCATCCAAAATTGGATGCAAAATTCAAAGGATAATGGATGTGTAGAGGATATTTAGAAATTCGTAGTGTGGATCTTGCAATTTAAATCCATCCTGGAAGATTGCAAATTTTCATCCTTCAACATTTCTAGGTGTAGTGGGAACCTATTCTAACAATATACTGACAAATATACTCATATAATTAGTGCTGATCAAATTTTTGTTATGCAGTCTTATTTTTGTTCAAGGTACTTTGAGGGTGAAAATAAACCAAGAATCAAACACACCAAAATGGGTTTGATTTCTTTTGTGGGCAATGAAGAAAGAATGGTTGGATCACAAGTTTTCGTCACTTTAGGAGAAGATTTAACATATCTGGATGCAAAGCACTGTGTCTTTGGAGAGGTTGTTGAGGGATTGGATGTATTAGATATAATTAATGAAGTAATTTGTGATACAGATGATAGGCCATACCAGGATGTAAGGATTACACATACTGTGGTACTAGATGATCCATACCCTGATCCAAAGCATTTACAGGTAAATTGAGAATGGGATGATATGATGAATTGTATTTTATAATTTACAGTATAAGTGTATTTGACTAGGCTAACTAACATTTGGGTGAATATACCACAATTGGGATTTTAATGTTCCGCAAAAAAAACTTGAGCATATTGTGGAAATAAATTATCCAAATAGTGTAAAATATCATGCTTTATTTGGAACATATGATGCAATTAAGATAATCATTTAGACACAAAATGCTTGAAATTTTACAAGTTGGATACTCCTCCGGTGTTGTCCATTCCCTACTTTCATTACAAATACCAAGAAATCTTTTATAATATGTAACTGGTATAACAATATGCAAATACTTTTTTTTATTGCTAGATACACATTATAGCATATTTTCATAAAAAGATACATAAAAAATATAAATACATAAAAACACGTTTCTAGTGACTCCTGAAAATTGTGTCATCCTCATCTGCCTCAATTCAAATTACATATCTTAGTGTAATTGTGAAAATTTCGCAATTGATCCTGGTCAGCGTGTGGCAAATCAAGAAATGATAATTTGAGACCAGCCCGATTGGGCCTACTGAATCCAGAAACGCGTTAGTTGCTGAAGTAGTATCGGTAGATACCGTTGTAATACATTTTTTAAAAAATCATAAATCACATACAATACTGTAATTATTAATGTATGTATGTATCTTAATTTTTTTGAGGCAATGCACGTTTTTGTCACTACCCTGGCGTCCCTTCTCTGGCAGTTGTCAGTCGATTATTTTTTCTACTCTTCTTTTTTGCTTTTTGTCATTTCTTTAAAATAAAAAATAGTATAAACAATAAAAGCAACACCTAGCTTCCAAATACAACTGTTACCCTGAGGGACTGTAAGCTCTCAATCTATAAGACACTCTTGCTTCAAGACCGATGGAACTGGAGGCTTGATATTTTTAATGAAGACCTATTTAGTTAATTTAGCTAATGTTATTTATGTCACGTTTAAAGTATATTTTTTATAGCGACCCGCCTGGCTACACATTTTTCCCTAGTAGCTATAAAAGCAGTTGAAATCGAAAGATCTGACCCTGTCAAATTTAGTATGTCTCACATACCATATTGTCTAGTGACATACTGAATATGAAAACCAAATAATTTATTTTTCTTGGTTAACACTGAAAACCCAAGTAGCATATATTCATCCATATTATATAGGGAGATCTTACAAAGGAAGTATATTCTTCTGAGGAAATAAAAAGGCCCCTCTCAAAAGACAAAAATTTAGTTAAATAACTTTTTTTATTAATCATCAAAGTTGGAGTTTCTCAGATATATCAAAAAATAAGTGGCCCACAGAAGAGATGTGGGTTGTAGGATATGAAAAAACGTTTAAAGTGAGAGCTTATTCAAACTCATTTTGTTACAGCAATAACGTTACTGGACAGCTACAAAAAAACTATTTGTTAAAAGGCTAGTAACAATTGTGAATTTGTAGAATATGCTGCGTTTATGATTAAAATGTTTTTGGACTGTGATTGAACGACTTAAGCAAACTGAATATACAGGGTGAGCGGAAATTCGTCCGATTCCTTGCAAAGAGATATCTGTAGCACATTTACCCCTATCAACTTATCAAAGATAAGGGGCTTTTAAGTTAATGGTGAATTAAGATTTTTTCTTGACATGTCACCGAAAAAGTGTACAAAAAAGTATTATGAAAGCTGATAAACTAGTAATAATTTTATTGCTAGTATATTGAGAAGATCTGGCTGAAATTTATTTCTAAAATAATTACTAATTTATTAACCCTCAGAACAGTACCAGTTGAGTGTCTAAGATTTAATACTTTTCTTGTGACATGTCATATAGTTCCAAAAAAATAACGTCGATAATTTGGAAACAACTTATATTAGAGCATCAGTTAATGAAACTGAATTGGTTAAAACTGGCCTTTAGTATAACTCCTTTTCAAGAAATAGTTTAAATATCCAGTCACCCTGTATATGGTTTCATTTTAAAGGGAGGCTGTATAGATACGACTGACGACGCTAATTGCCCAAATAAGTTAGAAAGAAACTGAATTGCAAGCATAAATTGGTCTTTTGTTACTAAGCTGAGTCCTGTAGTATTCCGCGTAGGTCCCTAAAAGTTACATGGCTATGGGATGACGACAGGTTTTTGAGAATAACTTTCTGTCTTCATAGCTATAAATTCCACTGCATATCATCCGGCGATAGATAAAATAAGTAATTTGAGCGGTTTCTCTTTTGTTACTAACGAAAGTGTATAATATTCCGCGGAGGGCCGTTCTAGTAAAGGTTATGTAATAATTTATAGGTTTTGAGAACTTCTGTTTTCATAAAGGATGCCACAAAATTTAAATTTAATATAAAGCACAGGTTTTCTTCTTTATACAAATGCTGAATCATAAAGTACATAGTATATGGTTATGTATGGAATAGCAAGTGGCCTCTTAAGCTTTGCTATCATATGCTCATCCTTTTTGGAAGTTTTCTATTTTATTTATTTATATACACTGTGCGAACGGTTTATTACGTATTTGGATAAACGTGAATAAAAAGACGGTGCCACATACCATAGGTCTCATGAAACGATTTAATTACTTCATGAGATATTCCTTAATCGTGTACTATTTCATTTCGTTGATCACGATGGACCTCCTAGACTTGATTGTGAGTTTCATTTTTGACTAAATTGGATAATGTTGATGACGGTTTTATCAAGACGTCATACAGTCCATGAAACAATTCAGTTGCTGGTGCGTCAACGAAATTCAGCTAGATTTATGCTAACGAACATCAATCCACAAAAGAATGCCAGAAATGCCGAGTAGGTCATTTACCTGATCTGCTATTCCATATACAGGGAAAACAAAATTTGTTTGACGGCTTGAGTTCACTGTGTACGTGAGAGGAGTGCGAGAAGTATGTATCAATACATGTTAGAAAGGGATACAAGCCGGCTGCGTGTATGCAGGTGAAAACCGTTTCGAAGCAGGACGACCCTCCCCAATCAGCGCTAGATGGGTACTGACCAAAACCGCTCATCTATGATCATAGAGGTGGAAACCTTACCTTGAAATGTACGAGATGCGGTGTTGCCAAGCAAACCAATGACATTTCATTTCGACTTAAAATAAAACGCTGTTAGGACCGATACGGAATCGATCCTAAAAAGAGATTCGACACAATTCAAAAATGTGTACGCTCCAAATACAGGTAAAACCATTATTTGGTCATAGAGAATAAACTAAAGCATATATTTTTAACTTGCACCTTAATTCAAGGAAGTGCTGTAACATGTTGCGAAAACGACAGACTGCCAGATTGCCGCGTCAGCGTTGCTACGCAATGCGATGGTGAGCTTCGCTATCCAGCCGGCTTCTATCCATTTCTAACATAGGTGTCTATACACTCTTCTCTCTCGTACATATTGAACTCAAGCCGTCAGACAAATTTAGTTTTCAGTGTATGGTTAAGTGAGAATAACCGGTGACCAGACTTCGCCATTTGTTACTGTTAATGTATGTATTTGCTCCAATAAAATCGATTGAATTTGAATTGAATATAGCAATCCAAGAAAGAAAAACTTTGCATTCTATTCAATCCAAATTTTGCGTGAGTTTCGTTTCTCTTTACAAACTGGAAAAATGAGGTTTTTGACATGGAACACTATTGACAATGTCTTTTACGCGCACAGTATATTATCACTAATATTGCACTACTGAAGCATCATAGAGATTATAAATGGTAACTTTGACCAGGGTCTGCCAACTAACGGCATGTTTCGCAACCCCCAACAAGCGAATTTAAGCGACAAGAGTAATCATGTTTGTTTTGACGCGGAATAACCAGGGTCGAATATGCTATGATGCTTGAATTGTAGCTTGTTAGCGGTAGATATTATATTACTGCACGAGTGGTTTCTTATTTGAGAAATACACTCACTGGTAGATATACCACTATTGTTAACACTTCTGTCATTTTGCCTGCAGGTGCCCTCAAGGTCCCCATCACCAAGTGCCGAGAGGCTGCAAGGGGGTCGAATAGCTCCCGATGAGGAGATCAATGAAGCTGAAGGAAAAACGACCCAGGAAATAGCAGAAATCAGGGCAGACCGCGAAGCTAAGGCTCGAGCTACTATCCTGGAAATGATTGGTGACATTCCAGATGCTGATATTGCACCTCCAGAAAATATACTCTTCGTTTGTAAATTGAATCCAGTCACTACGGACGAGGATCTGGAAATCATCTTCAACCGCTTCGGAAAAATCAAGTCTTGCGAAGTGATCAGGGATAGAAAAACCGGGGATTCTTTGCAATATGCTTTCATCGAATTTGAAGAGAAAAAGTCTTGCGAGGATGCCTACTTTAAAATGGATAACATTCTCATTGATGACAGGAGAATTCATGTGGATTTTAGTCAAAGTGTTTCCAAGGTCAAGTGGCTTGGCAAAGGACGCGTTGCTCATTTTGATGATAAGGGACGGAGAGTCAATGATGGAGACGTGAGTATTGGTAAAGGCAACTACAAAGTCAAAGGTGGACGGAACGGTCAGTATAAAAATGATGCAAGAATGGAAACTGTACGGAAGGAAAAGTCCAGGTCTCCCCAAGAAAGGAAAAGGAATAAATCTCCTGCCAATAAAGATAGACGTCGTTCAAGATCACCTAGAGATAGCAAAAAAGAATATAGGAGTATTAGATCTCCTAGAAGTAACCATAGAAATTCTCCCAAGAGTTATGAAAATTATAGAGGTCGAGAAAGGTATATCGATAAATATGGCAGAAGTAAAACCTCTGAAAGGGATTTTGAAAGAAATAGGAGGTTTGAGTATAGAGATGAAAGGCATTCAAGGTCAAGGTCATCCAGTCATAGGAGCAGAAATGTTTCACCTCGAAGAGGAAGGTATAAGGAAAACGAAAGTATTCAGAAGAAAGCTAGAAGTAGATCAACAGAACGTGTTAGGCATAACAAGAAGGACAGCAGTAAAAGTAAGAATTCCAGACCAGTTGAAAGAGGCAGCAGTAAAATTAAACGACAAATATCGCCCGAAATCGAAAACAAGTCTAAGAAATCAATAGAAAACAAAAAGTCTAGTTGCTCGTCGGTTTCTGAGTCTGAGGAAGAGCTTCAGAGGAAGAGAAAAAATGAGCAGATAGATAGTGACAGTGATAACTATGTGGCATCCAAAAAGAATCACAAGAAAAATAGGAAGAAGAAATCTATTTGCTCAGATTCTTCAGAAGCTGAAGAAGAGGTAACTAAGAAGAAAAAGAGGAATAGGCTGAAGAGTGACAGTGATGATAGTATCCCAGTCAATAAGAAGAAGCATAAGAAGAAAATGGAGAGCAAAAAGAAAGCTTCTAGTCGTTCAGAGTCGCAATCATCTGTGGACGAGGGAGTGAAAAGAAATAAGAAAAAGGGTACGCAGCATAATAACAGTGATGACAAGATCTCATCCAATAAAAAACACAAGAAACCCACCAGGAAAAGCAAGAAGAATACCTCTACTAGCTCAGATTCAGAAACGTCATCCTAAGATGAGAAAGTAAAAAATAAAAAAATAAGATGCGACAGTGCAGATGAACAGATTAGAAAAAAACACGGTGAAAAAGAGAAACTGCATCAGTGTCTAGCCCAGTAAGCTAGAAAAACTTATTAGTGCATCTGTAAATTCGAAAGTTTTTAAATATATGATTGAAGTACAATTGTTCTTTTTTTACATCTAAGGGGAGGGATACGGCAAAAGAGGACGCCACTTGGTCTCCAGTTTGAAAACATATGTAACATCCACAGAGGGCAATCGATTGTACAGTGTAGCCTATATGTAACTGACTGGTTTGTATCTTGAATATTTGTGAAATGAAATAAACATGTCCATTTTTTTCATCTTAATATTTTACTGGAAAATATGTATGAAAAATAATATCAGACAAATATCCGCCTCTAGAAGCCGCGCAAACCTGAACCCTCTTGATTATCTTGATTACATTTGGTTTGTTGGCATAAACCCTATTTTTCGAAAATACCCATAAAAAAGTCAGGAGCCGTTAAATCCGGTGACCTTGGTAGTAAGGTGACCACCAAATCTAGCTGTGTGACAAGTTGCACTTTCTGCTGGAACCACATGTTCTGCAGGCTAAATTGTTGGATTTGAGGAGTCAGAAAGTTTTGCACCATATAACGGTAGCACACGCCAGTGACAGTAGAATTACCCCTTCATATCGAAGTGGGCTTCATCACTCATTATCAGCTGCCGGTAAAAATCGTTATTTTGGGTATTAAGCTGCAATATTGCATGACTGTATTGTCGGCGAATTTTATGATTACTAGGCTGTAGTTCTTGGGTTGACGTGCGGCGAATATCCAGTTCTTAAGAACGATGACTGGACGCTCCACTACACTTTCACGAACTCTCTCGACATTTTCCGGAGTACAAACAGGACCGACCTTTGCAAGTCTTTAACTTCACCTGTTTGTTGAAATTTCCGCACCAACTGACGAATGGTGGTGACATTGGGCACATTATTTCTACCGAAATCTTGTCGTAGCTTCCGAATCGTTTCAAAAATCGACTCATTTAAGTAAAACGTCTTAACAATACGGACGCATTGTGGGATCGTGTAGCGCTGAATTGGACACATGTGCTTTAAACAACTACTACGGCGCCACCTACTGAAAAATGCGTATTTGGAAGTTAAATTTACTGAAGGCAGCGTCTTACGTTTGTGGATAACACAACGGGTGGTCGAGAGAAAAAGCTATGAGGTGCTAAATACTCTGTAAATTTTTGTCATCATTTCATTTCCCACTACCGTAGTTATGCAATTTCTGCAACAGTTTCGTAACCTTCTGAAATATTTTTCCAATTACAGTAGAACCTCGATTATCCGTCAGGGGTCGGGACCAAGGTGCGACGGATACGGGAAAAATACGGAAAATAGAAAACGACAGGAATTTATTAAAACAAACTAAAAACAACATGTGAACATAGTAATCAAAAAAAGTAATAAACAAACATATATGTATAAACATAATATTATGTCATAAACAGTAACCTAAATTATGTATAATACTATGGTTTTTTGAAAAAGTCTGTGATTTTTTTTTGTTTTATCTTTTGGGAGCTTTTTTTCTTGCAATGCAGCGTATTTTCCTCAATAATACTAGTTGAACGAGTTCTGCTTCCTCTTGATTTTCGTACCACTGTATAATTTTAATTACCATATCCTCAGCTTCCCCATGGCTAATGCTACCTTCCGGATTATCAGGTAAGTCATCTTCACAATCTTCATGATCATTGGCTTCTAAAGGCTTTAAAAAATATCATATCCTACATCTTGTTTGTCCATATCTAACCAATTAGAAATGTCATTTTCTGAGGTGTCTTTAAATCCAGGAAAATATGAAAATGTTTGCTTTATGGATGAAATATTAGTTGTTCGATTTTCTTCTTGATCCATAGCTGTATTTTCGGTAGGCAACAATTTATTCCAACTTTTATTCAAGGTTTCTGCAGGTATACTCTTCCAAGCTTCAGCAGAAATATTTGTCGTCGGCTGCGAATTAAATTCTCCGAATTCATTTTGAACAACGGGATGGGTGACGAATAACGGAAGTTGACTAATAATCGAGTGCCGGATAATCGAGGTTCTACTGTATAACTTTTCAAAATCCGTATATTTTGTTTTATGCAGTACGTCAAGTGTTTGACTTTGATCACTCTAGGGAATAATTAAAAATAATAGGGAGCTATGTATAACAACTGTATTCGAAGAGTATTTCGAAATACCAATGGTGAGAGTCGAATTAGAAACACCCGCTATAAATGATTTTCAGTTTATATGGATAAGGAATTTAAAAATAGCCATATGAATGCGATTGAAAAACCAAATGAATCTTCTTTCACTATTTTCCATGTTACTTCCTCTTGCTAGAGTGGTATGAAACATGCGCTGAAAAGCAATGCGACCAAGGTGTTAATTTCTTTGGCTTGAATTATGTCTCTGTGTCAACAATAAACCTCATAGACAAGGATCGGGAATGCTCAAACTAGTTGTGACGTTACATCTGTGCGTGATGGTTGCCTTTAACTTTAAGAATACCTTCAACACGGTAGAATGGCAGAAAGTTGGATCTTTCGAGAAGTTAGACACCGCTTGCTCGTCAGCAGAAGATCAAGACACAGGGAACCTTCTTAGGAAACCTCATTGTAGATAACAGACAAGCCAATATCGAGTAACAGTTGAGAATCTTAAAAATAAATATTTTATGACTAAGTACTGTGAAATAATTTCATTTATTTGTTTACCAACAGCGATATGTAATAGTAGTTCAGTAAATAGCAAATTAGCCCCACGAAAATAATGCGCCCTATAGTGTCTAGGTTTTGCGAATACGATGAAGCTGACTCGCCTCTACTTGGATTCTTGGATGTCGGTTGTTACCATTTTCAGTTATGGATACACTTGGTAGTCCGTCGGGGACCGCCGGTACCGGCTTGTGTCTGATCGCGGCCGCCCGAGTGCGTGGGGCGCTGTGACTATTATGTGGGCTTGTTACCATTTTTGGAATTTGGATTTGGTTACTCACTTCTCACTCGTCAGTAGCCGTTTTGGTTACCGGCTGTAGTGTGCGTGCAATTAAAGATGGATGACTGTAGCTGCGTAATCGATCAACTACTTGAAAAGTCATTCTCCTTGTATAATTTTTAAGAAAAAAAGGAGATCTTTGAAAATGGAAGACCAACACCTATTTTAGATAATTTTAGAAAGGAATAAAAAAAACGTAGATTGATATTTTAAATTAAGTTGGTATATAGAAACTCTTGGTTATGTGGTTGCAAAAAAAACAGATTGTATTGTTGGCGATGTCTTCTGTTTTATACAGAAAAAGATGGGTGGACCAGCAGCGGAGTCAACGATTTAAATAGTTTTAGGGCTCTAAAGAAGAGACATGCAATTTCTCCGTTACGTGTGAGATGTGTAGCGAATTTAATTCAGTTTGGCAAAACAAGAATCGAAAGTTGTCTTAACCAAGGTTTTAGGCAGCACACTTATAGATACCGTATGTTTTTTGGCAAAACATGAATTACCGTTCATTTTGAAGGGGATGACTCTGACAATAGAGGAAATTACAGAGAATTGTTAACATTCATTGCCAAAAAAGATCAAAAATTTTCCGAACATCTAGAAACGTCGACTGTTTTTTCGGACGGCTTGGATTAGTCATAGCATAAGACGATGAGGTATATCAAGTGCCCCAGACGCTCAGTCCAGGAATGTTTACCTTAATTTAAAAATAGTTTAAATAAAATACCTAAAATAAACAAAAACTTATATTTGGGAGGTTCAAAATAAACTTTTTTTGGTAGCTGTTTAGGAAAAGTCATGCGTCGCCCCTGGTCCACAGGCAAATATAACGAAGCGGTCCGCGATATCAAAGACCATCACGATTTGAAAAATTAGGCACAGGGTAGTGACGCAGTACAATGCTAGTCGGTCTTGCCGTACGCTGGCCAAGAAGATGGAAGGGACTTCCTGTCTGGCCGCAAGATATCCTTCGTAATTGTCGGGTTCTCCTCTTCATCCCACAGCGATCGGTCCTGATCCCGAAGTTGTCCCTCTTACATATGCATGCAGTAATTCAGAGCGTCAAACCGATCTCTGCCGGTGAGCTTCCTCACTGACAAGAAACCTGAAGGCTATCACTACTTGGGAGAAAAATATTGGAAAAAACAGCCAGAGAGCTCATCAGATCCAGATAATGATATAAGCGAAGATATAAGGGTTTCTACAGATGACGAAATCACTTAAAATAACGCGCTCAGGGACGGATGATTACCCGAAATTCTTTTGTGACTTTTGCTTATAGTTTGACCTTCCTTTTTATGCCGATTCGGTGCAATGTGTGTTTTTAGGAATCTGGTTTTATTTCATACATTTGTTTAGACTAATATTCGAATGTTTTTCACATACTTTGTTTTACATCACCTCATAAAGAATATATTTCTAGTATCGCCTACTAGGGCGGTAATAACGCTACGAACGTGTGCCTATGTGCCCTAAACCGTGTCTGCCTCTGGGCACTCACCGCTGGCAGTGGCTTATGGCTGTCTGACGAGATGCAATGTCGCGAGGTGGCCGATTTTGTCTATCGGGCAGAAGAGTAATTATTAGACCTCAGTGGATGAAGCTAGGCACAATTAACTAATTTTATGTGCCTGTGTGACTTACTTGATCAATCAATTTAAATTTATTTTACATGTTCGTAAAGCTAACTTGTACCGAGCAAAATATTATAAGAATTGATGACAGTACCTATATACGTGATAAGTGCAGAGTTCACGTACTTGAAGTTCATTGTTTCCTTCCTTCCTTTTCACCCTCCTCAGTATAATGAACACGACGCCCGTTTCAATGTCTGGCACATGACATTTTACAGGGTTTTAGAAACTTACCTTTTGTTGAGCATCTCCGGTGAGCCGCTGTCCGTGGATGCGCCGTGACGCCGACGCGCCGCGACGCCATAACGCCGACGCTCCCAGGTTGCGGCGGTAGCGGCGACGATTTATCAACAGCCCCATCCCGAAACGACGCAGCAGTCTTAGCACGATGTCCCACAGGAACACTACAGGCTGCAATTGCCTGCCATTGCTGGCCTTGGTTGTCGCATGCTGCTGCCTGTTGGGCGAAGCCATACCCTCTTCGCTCGTACAGGAGATCAAGAACAGCGAGGTCAGGAGCAATAAGGGTGAGTTATATTAGGAGCATATTTCTTCTGAATCTTAGACGAAATGAATTAACAGGTGTCACATATGGTACATGACCCTTTATTTTTCTCTGCAGTGTGGTCAATGTTTCATTGGAATAAT